TGTGGACAGTCCGCTAGTGTGGCCTGCTCACAGAGAGCCTGCAGTGAGCCCAAAGCTGTGGGCCTTACCTGGGCAAGCCCGCACTGGGCCTGTTTAGGTTTGGTGTGGGCCGGCCTTAGCCCACTGTGCCTGCAAAAAGCCAGCATGGGCCCCACAGGGACATGTTTGCAGGGTGGTTTTACTACAAATAAAACCAAAAAAAACATGGTTACTATAGTTAAACCATGGTAACCACAAATTAACCATGGTTTTGATACACTAACCATAGTTTAAGCATGGTATTTGTAGTAACGTTTGTAGTAAAATACAAATGGTAATCAATACGCCAAAAACCATGGTTATACTACAATTATACTATAAATCAAACCATATACTTTTTGTAAGGGGTGCTTGCCATATACCTTTCATAAAAGTGGCATTTAGCATTTATGTGGTCAAAGAACAGTAGTACTCAGTGACACACAAAACAATTTCCTCACAATTACTAATCATTTCCATTTGTGGCTAGGCTAGCTTGTTTTAACAGTTTTTTTTGTTTTGTTTGTTTATTTTTTTTCAAATGAAAGCCAACATTTTAAGAGCCATTTTATTTTACTAGTTTCATTAGGAAATACTTTTAATATAGAATACAATATCTACAGTAATCACCTCATTTAGAAATGCAGCATGTTTTCGGTAGCTGAAGCAGTAGCAAGCGTTGTTAGCTAGTTAGCATCTACTTGAAGCAGTAGTGGGGATTATTGCATCATATTTACTGAAAACACGAGGTTAAGGGGTCAAAGTTGCCAGATGTCAGAGTTTTTAAATCATGTATTTTGTGCTAGTTGAGCAGCTTCCATTGAGATGAATGGGAATGCTAACGGTTAGCTTTTTCTAGCTATTATCCACTTTATTTTTAATGTAAGAGTGGGTGCAGCCATCTTTAACTTGAATGAAGTGTAAGCTGCTTCCTGCTATTTTAACTGTACAAAATAGTCTGTTATGGTGCTTGATAGTGCAAACTATTTGTTATCATATTATTTTAATTTATAACAGTAATCATAAATACCATGGTTTGTAGCACATTTACTGCACTTTGTTATTCTTTTAGTTATTTAACAGCAAATGAATAGAAAGTCTTATACATATACAGAAAATAGTTTACTTTCACAAAGAAAAATGGGTGTATATTGTCAAAAACATCTGATGTAGAAACAATTTTCACTCAGAAATTGCTAGTAAATTTCACAATTACCAAGAAATGGCAAGTAACACACTGAATTTAATTCAGAAGTAGAAGTTGAAATAGTATTTTATTGTAAAATGTAGCTACTCCAGTAACCTTTGTTTTATTTAACTTAAAAAATATATATTTTTGGACAGTATAGACCTTGGAAAACACCTGTAACTCAAGAAAACTAAGAGTAAAAGTAAAAATCTTGCTGTAGTAGTTTTTTCCATTTAAATTGAATTAAAAATGGTTTCATTATTTCATCAATATATATTATTGGTCATTTCATATGTAGAAAGCTAGTATATGTGTTCTCTTTATATAGATCTATGTAAATATTCAGTGTTTGTTGCTGTGGGTTACTACTTGGTTGTGCTCAACTGCAGATGATGCTCCTGGAAGACAGCCAAGAACAGTCTTGAGACCAACTAGCAACACAACAGTGACACCCTCAGGAGAGAAAAGCTGAAAGAATATAGCCCACATCTCACTCAAAAAACACATACGGCTGCCAAGAACACTCAAGAGGATGCTGAACGACAGCTTTAATCAGGGGGAGAACACAGGCACTCAGAAATAAAAGTTAAAAAGGAAGAAAATGCAGAGTGTAGAAGAGCTGGGTCCGATTTGCTCGAGCAATTTAGAAATGATTGGCACGTTCAATTAAAGCAACAGTTACTGGACGCTGGTTGTGATACTGACCGGACAAGCCAGTAAATTAGCATATGCTCAATGATTCGGTAAAATCAATCACTGAGGGGTCGCGGAAGGTAATGTCACACTTAGTTCTTCTCACCCTTGTTAAAAAGAAATTGCTTTAAAACAATGTGAGAATAAAATTGGCCTATTTACTATTTTAAGAAACGTCCCTGATTCATGTCCCTGCATGATTCATCAATGCATGTTCTATATATACACGTATATGTATGTATGTATGTATGTATAATAATCTTCTTCTTCTCCACCCACACTAAAAAGTGTATTGGGCGACGAGAGGCTTCTTCATGCAAGCTTGATGTTATTTCCTGTAAATGGCAACTGTTTTCAGCGAGCAGAGCTATATCATCAGCAAAATCAAGATCAGTGAGGCGGTTCTGTCCATCCCAATCAATGCCTGCATTTGGTCTTACCATAGCCTTCCTCATGACAAAATCTAGGGCCACTATGAATAAAAATGGTGACAAGATACATCCTTGTCTGACACCGGTCTCAATGGCAAAGAAGTCAGTGTGGCCTGTATCTGTCTTGACGCAGCAGCTGGAATTGTTATACAATGATTGGAAGACAGATATGAATTTCTTTGGCACACCATACAATTGTAAAATATGCCATAAAGATTCACGATGTACACTATCAAAGGCTTTCCTGAAATCGACAAAATTGATGGAAAGTGGACGTTTATATTCTACGCATTGTTCAATGATGTTTCGTAAAGCGTAGATTTGCTCGCTACATGATCGTCCTTTCTGGAAGCCAGCCTGTTATTCTCTGAGACGTTTGTCAACGACTGCCTGCAATCGTCTTAGGAGAACTGTGGAAAACACTTTTCCTGGTACAGACAGGAGGGTTATGCCACGCCAATTTGTACATTCCATTTTGTTCCCTTTCTTTGGTAACTTAATGATGGTACCCTTTTTCCAGTCTTCAGGAACAGTTTGCATTCGCCAACACGCATTAAAGAGATCTGTAAGTTTCGCAACTACAATGGGACCACCATATATATATATAGAGAGAGAGAGAGAACATGCATTGATGAGCGCAACTGAAATAAATTCTTTTGATATTCTATATATATATTCTTTTTTTGTGTGTGTGTGTGTGTGTGTGTAAAAGAAAAGCACATTCATTAAAATTCCCAAACATATATAAACTCTGACATCTAAAACGATCTGCACAACTAGCACTGGATAATGCCAAGTTACTTCATCCCAAAGAAACTTTTTTTTCATTCGCCTCAATTCTTTATTATGTCCTTGATAAATCCTTAATTTAATTAATGGATAATCAAAACTTAAACAGCCTATTAATGTGCTATTAGGGATATGACTGAGTTTTCTATTTTTGAAGATGTAGAACAGGCCTTCGAAAAGCCCTGTGAATCTGGCAGGCAGCCTGGAGCACAGCAACAGTTTGAAGAAACTTCTTCTTAACCGCTTTCTTAACTTCACTATCACCTGGAAGAGACTGTTGCTGCCCCACAAAACCCTTTTTTTCTGGTTCTCACGCACCTGTCTCATATTGCGGGGGAGGGATCGGGGTTGCCCTCTTTATTGCTCCAGCTATCTCTCTGGTTTCTCTAACTGAAAGAGTTGAGGTTGTGACAGTGAGAACCCCACCTGGCAAACAGCAGCATCCACCTGGTAGGCCACTCGAACCCTGCCTGGAAAAAGTCACACACACACACATCAGAAATCTTTTTGGACGAGGTCTGAGCGCAACTGAAACGAATCGTGAACAGATGCAGAGCTGCAGGCATGGTTTGAGCCGAGATAAAGTGCTGCCGTCGCAGTGGTCTGCGATCTTCCAAATGCTCGTTTTCACTGCTCTGCTATTGCTTAGCAACAAGGAGGCCAAGTCACAGAAACTGCTTTAAGCTGATTTCGCAAATCAAGGGATGGAGAATAAGACAAAGTGCGCAATAAACACTTATTTTCCAGTGTCAGTGTATAAAACATTTATTTGATTACATATTGTTCGACCGAAGTAGAAACTGAGCGTTTACAGTCTTTAAAGGGAAAGTTCATCCATAAATTGTCATTATTAACTCTTATGATGTTCAGTGCTGTTATTTTTCTGTGGAACTCAAAAGGAAAAGATCATTCTCATAGCTTTCTAGCATAAAAAAAATGTAAAAATCCACAAATTGCAAAATAAATAAATAAATTAAAAAATAATAATAATCCACTACAAATATCCAAACATTCTTAAATCAACATGG